AGAACATGGTCCAGGTCTTGACCTACAAGGTCCAGAGTCTCTCCCACCAACCATGAATGAGGATGATGAAGAGCTTATCTGGTCCTCACACCTTCATCAGCACCACAGAGAGTTACCAGAAGATCACTGTGAAGCAGCAGAACCTATCAGAAAGCAAGATCATGGAGATTATTCTAACTCATCAGAGACTGAACTCATTGAGGAGGAGGAAGAGGAGGATGAAGCTGATGTAAATAATGTTTTCTGTCAACTTGAGCAATTGCCAGATTACAAGCCAAAATGTAAATACAGGGGAAATGACAGCAAGTTGAGCCATTCAACTAAAGGTTCTCCAATCTCTGGGGGTAAAATGAAACCCTTTACTTCAAAGAAAACCCTAGATTCAATGAGGAAAGTTCAGGTTGAAATGAAGTTTAGCTGTGATGACAATGGTGAAATATGTAAAAAAAATCCAACATCGAAAAGACAAGCGAGAACCCTAGCAGGACATGAACATCTCTGTAAATTGTGTGGCCACACATTTAAAAACAGAAGAAACTTAGACACACACATGAGAATCCACACAGGAGAGAAACCTTTCAGTTGTGATCTTTGTGGATACAGATGTAGCCAGAAATCAAGTTTAAATGTACACATGAGAATCCACACAGAGGATAAACCTTTAAGTTGTGATCTTTGCGAATACCGATGTAGTGTAAAATCAAGTTTAAATAGACACATTAGAACCCACACTGGTAAGAAACCTTTCAGTTGTGATCTTTGTGGACAAAGATGTACCCAAAAATCAAGTTTAAATAGACACATGAGAACCCACACAGGTGAGAAACCTTTCAGTTGTGATCTTTGTGGATACAGATGTAGCCAGAAATCAAGTTTAAATGTACACATGAGAATCCACACAGAGGATAAACCTTTCAGGTGTGATCTTTGTGAATACAGATGTAGTGTAAAATCAAGTTTAAATAGACACATGAGAACCCACACAGGTGAGAAACCTTTCAGTTGTGATCTTTGTGGATACAGATGTAGTGTAAAATCAAGTTTAAACAAACACATGAGAATCCACACAGGGGATAAACCTTTCAGTTGTGATCTTTGTGGATACAGATGTAGTGTAAAATCAAGTTTAAACAAACACATGAGAACCCACACTGGAGAAAAACCTTTCAGTTGTGAACTTTGTGGTTATCAATGTAGTCAGAAATCACATTTAAACAAGCACATGAGAATCCACTAAAGATAAACATTCTAGTTGTGATATTTTAGGCACAGGAAATGAGGATCATATTTTAAATGGAAGACTCTAAAGAAAAATATTCTTCTGTTGTGTGTTGAAGTCTATGAAACAATAAAAAGAGTGGAAATTGATTTTGAAATGGCATTGTTGCAGGGTTTATTGTGGAGAATGTCGGTGCTATTAAGGATTTTTTTTGTTTTTGTTTTTTCAGATGCTCCTCTTCCACTTATGGTTTGATTTTAATATTTTAATTGAATACACTAGGGATTTTTGTTTGAGACTAAACTGCTGTTAGTTGTAACTCTTTAAGTAAAAAAAAAAAAAATATATATATATTATTTACTACACAGGGCTTAAAGAGCTCCGCCCGGGGATCGGATTTCCGGCTTTTGACCAAATGGTCCACCTCAACCAATCTTTATGGGTCGCCTCAACCAAACGGTAGTCTCAGGGCTTAACGAGCATAGACGTAAGAATAGACGCTTCATGAACCGCTCTTGCCTATTGTAGCTGACGAGATTTAGGGCGGCCATCTTGGAGCGGTCCACCACTCCACTCAGCGTTATGTGTTTAGCAGGCACAATGATGTATCAGCCAGGGCTTAAAGAGCTCCGGCCGGGGGCTGGATTTCCAGCTTTTGACCAAACGGTCCGCCTCAACCAAACTGTAGTCTCCGGGCTAGATCGGAACGTGTCGGCAGCGACGCATCTAAATTTGCAGTACCGTAATTCCACCACACGTAGCGGTATCTGAAAAATTCCAATGGCTTCTGAAATGGGAGACGTTGCACTTTCCAGCAAATATCGGGTTAATACGGGAACTTCACAGCTGCAGCTGCAGAGAGTGTAATTAATCCGGGGGTGGGGGGAACTCGTTTAATAGACGGTATATTGCGAAAATAACTTGCTGGATATTGAAAGTTCCGGTTGTTATGGATACATGGGTAAGTATATCATCTCACA